GTGCACCACGTGGAGGTAAGTCTATCGCGCACCCCACTTCATAGAGTGGAGTGTTTACCAATTGTGCGAATGTTTTTGTTTCTTTCACTCACAAAGAGCCGGTAACATCAAGGACCTACATGTAATTGCTCTTTTGAGCAAAAGTTTTCTTCTATGATGCCTGAAAGTACAGGAAGTAGCGTAGGGTTTAAAATGCCAACTTTATCCTACTTCGCCTCGAGCACACCGGCTTAACAACACCCTGCTGAAGTTGCTTTATAAGCAAGTGGTTGTGTGTGGTTAGGGTTAGAGACGCTGGTGTCTCCAATACCATTTTGGTGTGAAGTTTTTTGTCCATGGATGTAGTTCCCGCTTCTGTACACTTGTACACAAGAAGTTTCTCTGTCAAGCCACATTAATGGAGGAAAAGCATTTTTCCCACCTTGCATGTGATCTTTCCATGAAAACATCCGCTCTAATGAGTTCATACTTTATGTTTGCATACCGGGGGGGGGGGTGTGCAATAGACTTACCTCCACGTGGTGCACCCTGGGCAACGTATATTCATACGGCAAGTCTATTAACTGGCAGTTGACTTCTCACCTCAAACTACCACGACCCCCCTGGTTGTCATATTCGACCCCTTCCACAGTACGCACTTTACCTTTTTCTCTACCTTTGTGTCTGTCTGCCTCTTTTGCATCTGTGAATCGCTCTTCTGTTCCCCACCCCTCGACTTTCTGCTACTTTGATGAACCTTCCCTCTGTGAAGCCCGAAGTGAGCTAAATGGCTAACGATAACTGTCAAAGCGCCGGCCATTTGAAATAGATAAATAAATAAATGTTTGCAACCGAAGCTAGTGTCGAATTCTTTTTAAGATCATAATCCCCAATATTTTCAGTTTTTTAGTTCTGCGTTACTTCGACCTTTAATTGATACTAATGATGATCGTTTAGTAGTCCATTGCAGTTTCCACCAATCTCAACCCCCCCCCCCACCCCCTTAAAATAATTTGTGAAAGGGAGAAAATCGCTGTCTTCAACAAGTCGTGCAGAAACCGTATTGATTACTTTTCTAATTTTTTTTATTTCACTAGAGCTTTTCTTGGATGCAAAGGAAGTGGAAAAACTTCATGATTTTGAGGAGGAGTGTGTAGAAGATTACTGTCGAGAGAAGAAGATTGAAGAGAGCAAGCAGGCTGAAGTTCATTTGGGGAATATCAGTTCAGGAATCGCTGCAATGGAATATCGTCTCAAGGAAGTCCACCTTCGACAGCAGCAGCTTCGAGGCGACATCCATACCATTCATGATGAGGTTCTAGCCGGTCGGGAGGAAGTCATATCTAAACTCTATGAGAATAGAACCGGTTCCCAAAGAGATCTTCTTCCTGGAGGCGCTGTAGATTTAGCTTTACTTGGATCTGTTGTTTGGCTCCTTCGAAACAGCATTGACAGAGAAAACGGTGAGTTTTTATAATCTCTTTACGCACGACTACACGCGATGATAAATTGTAGTTTCATGATACATGAAGATTTAAACCTGCAATTAGGGTCACAATTTAGATGGATAAGGACAAAATTTGAACTAAATAAGGACAGGAATTCTTCTGAACTGCTCTTGAGAGGTCTGTGCAAATAGAAATTGTAGCAAGGATATCTCTGTGTGCATCACAATAGGAAAATCTGTTTACCTGTCTTGACCCGTTTTAGCGTGAATAACTCAGAACGTTCAACTTAACTTTTTAATAACGTGATGGAGTTGTTTTTTGTTTGTTTTCAGTTCCAGTCACTGAAGATAATTACTTCGATGACAGAAGCAATAGTGGGGTTCAAAGGCGTCGACATCACCTTGGAGACAACGATGTGACCTCTGTTCGAGCACATTGTCGGCGTCAAGCGTGTCAACAAAATCGACCCAAATTCTCCTCTAAGCTCTCTTCACACACAGAGGAAGACGATATTGATGGCAATGAGATGCGCGAGATTCAAGGCACCGATTCAGAAGTGCGAGATTATTCCACTGAGAGGATGTTTAATCGGGGAGCGACCAGGCAAGCACGTCGTCTAAGACACGAGGTAAGAAAATCCTCGTTTATTTTTGTAAACTAATTGACTTTCCCTCAACCATCGTATTCAATTATGTCGTGGTACCTTTATTCATGCGTGGGAACATCTAGCTATGTCAGAAGAGCAAGGGGAGAAGAGAGTTGAATTGGCTTTTGAAGAATGCATGTGGAGTTGGAGTGATAACCAGGTGAACCAGGGGAAACCTATCTCAGAATCTTCGAGCTATTTTCGCTTTCACTTTAAATTTGCCTCATTCGACTTCCCAACCACTCAATTTTCCTGTAGTTACTATTACAACCATCTTCTTGGTACTGAAGTTTATTGTTTGGGGGATCATTTCTAGATTTGTGTTGATCGATAATGCAAGAAATGGAACTATTAGCGAGATTTGCCATTCGAATTACGCTTTCTTTGTCAGCAAGTACCAGATTATCGTCTGTTTGCAGTTGTCTTGACCAACTCCCCCCCTTCCCCCCCCCCCCCCCCCCCCCCCCCCGATGTCCATGCAAATTTAGAGATGTCTATTTTAGTGCTGACATTTAATTCAAGCTTGAAGGTTTGCTTATGAAATTATTTCATATCTGCCATACTCTCATGCAATTCTGGCACCCATGGGTTTGAAGTCCAAAGTCACATTTACTGAATCACTTAATGCCGCTTCATATCCCTCCACCCCATTTTGTCCAATATCCAGGTCGGATTATGCTCTTTGTTCTAGCCTTGCATACACGAATTCGTTTCTGTGATTCCCCTTGTCATTCAACTGCCCGTTATTTGTATCCACTTGGACCAACAATTTCAAACTTAGGGAACAAAAAAGGCTGACATTGTACATTGCTGCTAGTTCTAGATGGTTCAAATCCTATTGGTCGAAATGGTAGAGATCTAGGTTGTTTCTTGTTTCAGAAATTCCGCCAACAAAGACGCAATGCAATGGGTCTTGACGACGGTGATAGCGACGACGATCTGGAAATGCCTCCAGAATCAGCTCACACTGCTAATGATTGGCTTCGTCTCCTAGCCGAACGCATCCTGGAGCAACGAAATTTGGCCAAATTCAGACCAATTGATCTTGAATCACTCGGTAGACAACAACAACAGCGTTCATCCCAGAGACATGGACTTATTCGGCACCGATCATCCCTCTCTCAATCGCCAAGTCTTTCTGCCCAAACATCGTCAGTTCCTTATTCACGTCCATTTGATGGGTACTTTGAATACTTATCCAAATTTATAATCTTACTCTGAAGGCACTTGAAATCCCATTTAATTTTTTCCTTTTTTAGAATCCACATAAGTCCATCTACCCCGAACAGTGTCGGTATTCGACATTCCCATCGTGGCATTCCTACTATCCCACACATCGCCGCAAATCGTGAATATACTACAATTCTAGATGATATTGATATTTCCCAACTCCTCCAGCCTGACAGTCCAACGACAAGTCCTATGGGTTCTCGAACCGATCTCCAACAAATTCCTGCAATTACTGTCAGCGGACCGGCTACGGCTAAGCATGGAAAGAGGCGACGAGGTACCCGTTTCGCAATTCCTTCCTTTGGTGCCGATCAGCAACCTGGTTTTGAATTGGGTGTACCCGAGACGAAGAGAAATCGACATAGACACCATAAACATCGTGAGAGGCGAAGTCCTTCAGTCCCAACTTTTGCTCCTCCGAGGGCTGAGAATGAGAGTCCCATTGCGAGCACATCTCTTGATCATCTAGTACCAGATGCACCTGCAATGAGCCATCAGCTCTGCCGTTCTTCATTCTCGAATGCCCACCCACCATCTCTCCGCTCTTCGCAGAATTTCTTGGATGATGAGGGAATGATGAGTGCAAGAGACGTCTCTGACGAGAATATCTTCGCTGTGGAAAAGGAGGATAATCAACTTGCCGATGAAGATTCGAATACTCCTAAAGACCCACTGCACCTTGCTGAAGCCGCGGAATGGAATGAGTTGGAGGGCGTTGTTATTCGTCGATTGCGTCAACTCTCAGTGGCGATGGAAGAAGAAGCGCCTTTTGTTGCTGTCCCTCCGCAAGATGAATCTGAATATTGTGATGATGGAGCAACAACTATTCCTCATATTGCCGATGCTCAGACAAGTGCGAAGAATAATTCCGGAACGTCAGATGACGTTTGGAATGCTGCCGCCACTGCATTAGAAGAAGCAACTACTCATGGCGTTGAAGTAGTGGATCCCGATTTAGATCTTGATTATATTCCCTCTGAGGTCCCCATGGTTGTTGATTCTTTGCACCCTGTGAAACCCACTTCTCCAACTGCTTCTACGGCTCATGGGGATGGGCATGGCTTCAATGGTGAGGAAAGTGGTGGCACGTCGAATCGAAGACATCATTCGCATCGCTTTCACCCATCTCATCATCCTCATATCTAGACTTCGGTCAATTCTCATTCTCATTCATTTTTTTATACACCCGATGTAATCATCTCTCTCTCTCTCTCTCTCCACCTCCCTCTCCCTCTCTTTTGTATAGATGAATGTGTGTAGGTCTATGTATTTTGAAATATAGAATTTGGATTGGATGTTGAATCGATTTTAGTTATTTATTTATTTACAAAACTACTGTGATGTGCCATATTCCACTGAGATTTAATGGCAAATCGGGTGAAACAATAACTTAAAATAAAATCGATTTGGAATGGAGCTCTTTATGTTCAATTTAAAGTCAACTTATGCTGTATATGGCGTACAATTATGTCAATAATAGAATTTAGGCTGCCAATCATGACTAAGGTAACTCAGACATAAAAAAGAAGACTTTATCCTGAATAACTTATAAGCCTCTCTCTAATTTCAGGGTACACATTCCACGGTTTGCTATTGGTTCACTAGTAGCAAAACAGTGAGGCAATTTCAATGATGAGTGTGAGTATGTGAGAATAGTGCTCATAATGCTGTTAGAAACTTGTTTTTGATCAGGATTTCCGAAATGTATGAGAAAGACCGACCGTTTTTTAGTTATTATGTAATGCTGAATCAATTGGGGGGGGGGGGGCAATAAGGGGGCNTGGGGGGGGGGGGTCAATAAGGTGGCAGTTGGCACTGTGTTTCAACAAGCTTACAGTGGGTCGCTTGAGCCTCAAAGCATTTATACCCCAGCAGCAATTATTTATATTAAATGGCAGGCTCTATGATAGTTATCACTAGCCCTTTAGTTCACTTCAGGCTTCACAGAGGGAGAGGAACATCAAAGCGAAAAGTCGGGTGGGGGGGGGGGGGGGGAANGGGGGGGAGAACAGAAGAGTGTTTCAAAGATGCAAAAGAGACAGACACAAAGTTGGAAAAATGGTGAGGTGAGTACGGTTGAAGTAAACGAATTTGACATACAGTGGGGTGATGGTAGTTTGAAGTCAGAAGTCAACTGCCGATTAATAGACTTTTGTGCCGTATGAGTATATACGTTGCCCAGGGTGCACCACGTGGAGGTAAGTCTATCGTACACCCCCTTCCCCCTGCAGCAATTCGAAGTTGCTGAATGTTGGTAGCGATCTCTGTGAGGAGGATGGGGGGCGCTTCCTCTCACTCTCTTTTATTTGCTCACTTTTATTTCATTTTTTACCTATTTTGCTCTCCACCCCACCCCACCCCATCGTCATAGTCTTTCTTGCTATTATTATTGAAGATGTGGATGCCTATTGCCGAATCTTGACACTTTCAAAACGATTTCTGCCAAAAATCCTTACCTCTTAGATGGCACTTCTCATAGTGCCCTCAAGAGGAGTTGCTATGAAGTCCTTTCTCTCTGCTAATACTCTAGATACCTAATCAAGGTCATAAAATAATAAAAAATATGAGGTATGCGATAAACTTACTTCCACGTGGTGCTCCTTGGGCAACGTTTACTCATACGGCAAAAAAAGGGTCTATAAACCGGCATTCGGTCTAACCCTAACACGGCAAAAAGTCTATAAACCGGCAGTTGACCTCTGACTTCAAACTACCATGACCCCACTGTATGTCATATTTGGGCAACAGACCCATACGGCAAAAAATCTATTAACCGGCAGTTGACTTCAAACTACCATCACCCCACTGTATGTCATATTCGTCTACTTCCACTTCAAACTACCATCACCCCACTGTATGTCATATTCGAAACTTCAAACTACCATCACCCCACTGTATGTCATATTCGACATCCTTCAAACTACCATGACCCCACTGTATGTCATATTCGACCCCTTCCACAGTACTCGCCCCACTGTATGTCATATTCGACTTCTTCCACAGTACTCAGCTCATCTTTTTTCGAAATTTGTGTATGTCTCTTTTACATCTTTAAAACACTCTTCTGTTCCCTCCCCCTCTCGACTTTTTTCACTTTGATGTTCCTCCTCCCCTTTTGTGAAGTCCGAAGTCAACTAAAGGGCTAATGATAACTATCAAAACTCCTGCCATTTAATATAAATTAATAAATAATAAACTTTTCTTCCTTTCCTTAAGGTGCTTATTTCCCATCCTAATGACCTATCTATCGATTATTGAGCCTGTTGACCTATTCTGTCAGGTTAATTACTGATTGGTCAAAGGTATCCTACTCAGAGATAAAAAGCCCTGCTCTCATTTCCACCATGGTGAAATGATGTTGCTTATATAGTCTGGGGGAAAAGAGAAGGTAGTGAAAACGCGAAGGTGGGCCAGTAGTGACGTGATCAATGCTTAACAGGTCGCGTCTGCCGATTCGGTTAATTCTAATCCATACTAGAGGTGTTTGAATAAGATTTTATTGTTAGAGGAGCTCCAGAATACCATCTCTGCATCCAAACACTAGAAGCGCTGGCTCCAACATGAAAAGTTGTTAGGTCATCCCAGCTAGTCTAACATTTCGACTACTGTCACATTTTCCTGTTAATTAGAAGAAAATATAATTGAATATTGAGAAAAGCTCACACTGCATATATTGGCAAATGACCAAACAACCTTAAAGGTGAGAACGATACAACTGGATAGAATTATAAGTTTTTATTCTATTGAACTTATAATTTATTCTAATTATATATGAAATATTAAGGTTATTGTCTTAATTAAGATATTTGCTAGTTTGAGAGCTACTATCGTTTATATCAGGCACCAACGCCTTGTGGGAACGTCATCGCATGCCTGCACGCCAGGATTGGGAGGTGCGACCGTACAAACAGTGACCAATCATTAACCTCTGTTTGTTTAACCTAATCCGCCATCCTGATCATGATTAAGCTTCCTGCGTAGACACTTTATTCGCAATATACTGACTGAATAAACGTGCTCCGTGCTACACGTCTGTTTCCTTTCATAGCTGGGCTATAGCTTAGCTGGTTCTGGGAGTCTAGCTAGATGTTGGAGAATCTGCCATAGAGATTTCTGAGTCAGTCAGGTTTTACTAGCGTAGCAATCCGTTACAAATGAATGCTGTTTAATGCCAACAGCAAACTTAGGGGTTGAATGTGGATGATTATAAACCGTTGCTTTTGAAAACACAATATCTAAGGCACATTTAGTTCCCTCAATCGAGGCATTGTGAAATCTGTAGCGAGTTGCTACACCAATAAAGCCTTGCCTGATACAGAAATTTCTGCGACAGATTCTCTCATATCCCATGGAGCACGTACGTTTGAGGAGTATTGCTTGGTAAAAGTGTGTATGTCGGTTTAGATAAAGCAAACGGAGACTTTTGATTGGCCATTGGCTGTGCGCGCATGCGATGTAGTGACCACGAATCACAAGTCGAAATTGTGACTAGGTATAAATCCCTCAATTTTTCTTCCTTATTGATTAGCGAATGTGTCTTGTTGTTTATGAGGTTGAAATAAAAAGGCCCTAAGCTACTGCCTTTCATCGACACATTCTTATTCTGTACGAATAGAATATCTTTCTACATTTTTTCCCATTTAGCTTATCTCTCTCTCTCTCTCGAACACTGTCGACACTTACTGACATCCGATTTTTGTGCATTTGATCGCCTTTGTGGATCGCAGAATTCTTACACGACTAAACTGCCATCTCAGCTAATAGGTTCATAATATCCCCTTCAAGTTACGCTAAACATATTCAAATGCCAATCATACTCGATGTGAGCATAATTTGTGTCTGTCTGTCTCTTCTACATCTGTGAATCACTCTTTTGCTCTACCTCTCGAATTTTTCTCACTTTGATGTTCCTCCTCCCCTCTGTGAAGCCTGTAGTCAATTAAAGGGCTAATGATAACCATCAAGACGCTTGCCATTTGATATAAATAAAATAAATAAGTATTTCCCTCTGATAATGCCAATTTATTTTATTTATTTATTTCAAATGGCAGGCGTTATGATAGGTAGCATTAGCCCTTTAGTTGACTTCGGGCATCACAGATAGGAAGAGGAACACCAAAGTGAGAAAAATTCGAGAGAAGGAATAGAAGAATGAATCACAGATGAAAAAGACAGGCAGACAGACATAAAGGTAGAGAAAAAGGTGAGCACTGTTTAATTAGTAGAATATGAAATGCGGTGGGGTCTTGGTAGTTTGAAGTCAGAAGTCAACTGCCGATTAATAGACTTTTTGCCGTATGAGTATACGTTGCCCAGAGTGCACCACGTGGAGGTAAGTCTATCGCACATCCCTAATGCATGAATAAACATCGACTTAGCGTTACCTAATTAGCCGAGGCTAAATTAGCTAAACTTTGTCGGACATTTGGCTGAAATGGTGTTTATTGCGCATAATAACCTACTGAATAAATACTCCTCGCTGTTTACGTGGAAAGGTCATGGCGCAAACGACTGCGCATATACGCCACGCACCACTTTCCAGAGTGTTCTGTTTTGCGTGGGGTTACTTTGGTTGGCCATGATAGCATTGTGCATTCCACTAGCCTACATGCCCTCATAAATGATTGATCTTCTACATCAATGTGTCATTGTCCGCCTGGCGAAATTTTCAATTCAAGGTGACTTTCATTTATCCATTAGAATATAAATTTGATTATCTTTCTACAGATGTTCTATTTTGAGTAAAATGGGAAGGGGGGGGGGTGTGTGTGTGTGTGATGATGCAAAACTATTTCGGCCATGAAATCGTAGTTGTTATTCGGATTATAATCAACGGACTTTTTTCAAAAAATGTCATGGAAACCACTAAAAAAAGAAAGAAATGAATCCACTAGCTAGAAAAATAGCTCCAGGCAAAAGCATATTTGTAAAGTGACTGAGACGTTCCCTTTAAACTGTAGTGGACTGCTACACGAATTAGCCTTGACTTATGTCCAGCAACCTCTATAGCAAGATCTCCCAGTTTGAAGAGGCTCCCAGGATTAGTTGAGCTACCTTGAAGCTATAGAGGAAGCAGGCGTGTAGTGCGGAGCATGCTTATCTGGGCTAGTTAAACAATGTGAGGATTATTGATTGGTGGCTGGTAGAGAGGTCTCTGCTCTCACGACCGC